AAGAGTTAGCTTCTACATTAAGCCTTTCCTGATCCCTCAGGCTGCTAGTGACAAAAGCAACAACAAAAACCTTTGTGCTTGTTTAAAATATGCATACTTGTCCTTCCTGACAAAATATAAGCTCCTTGAGGCCAGGGATTACTTGATTTTTATTGTTGTATCTTCAGAACCAAGCTCAATACATGAACTTAATAAAAACTTGCTATTTGAATGATTGTCCTTAAAAGAATAGAAGAAGTCCTGTAGTTTGAAAGGACAAAGAAATCCATTGCAAGATGAGAAGGAAATTTGGTAGATTATGGTGAAGGAGTTCTGCCAGTGTTAGGATTCTTTTATTCACTCATTCCTTCCTTCCACAAGCATTTATTAAATGATGACTTTTCTTGGTGATACTTTATCTGAAGTAATACTTGAAAATTCTAATGATGAAAAATAACATCTACTTATATTTGCTTGGGTATATTTTTATGAAAGTATATGATGCAAATATGTATCATATATTATTTATATCATCAGGAAAAATACTCAGGAAGTTAATGAACAAATATTAAAGTAATTTGTTTAACTTGGCACAGAAATGATATGTCAACTAATATAAACTTATTCACGTGTAGTTACATATGATAGAAAATATATAGTCAAAGAAAATAGTAGAATTATTTCTTTAATATTATATATAAACTACAACTTGAAAAAATCATATATGGTTTGAATTTGTCCTATTGGGTTAACTAACTAGCAGCAGAAAAGGGAAATGTTTAAATATATTCCTCTTGTCTAGATTTTATGCATGTATGTATGTATATATGTATATATATATATGCATGTACATATATGCATATATATAATATAAAAACACAAATTAGATGTGCAAATTCTAGAAAAGAAAGTGTTAATGCTACAGAGAACATTTTCCATCTCTAAATTGTTCAAAATTCATCCACTGAAAATATTTTGTCATTTAAGTAGTAGAAATGATACTTAGTTATAAATATATGTTTTGTTTTGCTTTTTTAGGGGGAGAGAGGGAAGAGTTCAATTTCTTTCATTGCATCCTTGGCTTGGAATTGAAGAATTGACAACTGAGGGATTTTCCTGTGCTTAAAAACAGAGAGGGGCAGAAATACCAGAATACTCTTCCTCAAGGAAATTTCAGATTAATTTTTTAAATGTCTTTCCTGTCTCTCTTGGTAATCTGTAATGAAAAGACAGATTCATCCCTATGCCTACAATTAATAGATTACATCCTAATTTAACCTTGCTGATGTTTGTGTTTTTCATCAATCACTGTGAAATTTGATGAAATGCAGCAGCTGTGCTCAAAAATATTTTTGAACGCACCGTGACATGACATGGTGCTTTTCACTTGTCTCACGTGTTTATCGTAGGACCATACAGCTAGTGCTATGATGGTGATGATGGTTATATATTATAGCTGTCCTTTAGGTAATTAACTATGTCATACCCTTTTTGTATATTAGCATTATGCTTGTTACTATTGTGTAAAATTTATGAGGACAAGAACCATGTCTTAACTTAAATTTGTTGTTTCTCCTTCCTCTGGTTTGTACACACTAAGTCAGGCCTGCACAGCCTGTGGCCTACATTTTTTATGGGCCGCAGGAAATCCTTTGGTTGGTCACAGATTGTGCAGGCCTGCAATAAGTTCTTGATCAGTCTTTGTTGAATTAACAGAGACCTTACTAAACTAACAGAAGAGTTGGATCCTGCAAGTATTTTCCTATTAAACATTTTTGTTGTTTTTGTTCAGTCGTTTTTCAGTTGTCTCTAACTCTTTGTGAATCCATTTGGGGTTTTCTTAGCAAAGATACTGGAGTGGTTTTTCATTTCCTTCTCCATCTCATTTTACAGATGAGAAAACTGAGGCAAACAGGGTTAAGTGACTTACCCTGGATCACACAGCTAATAAGTGTCTGAGGCCAGATTCAAACTCACAAAGATGAGTGTTATTGATTCCAGGCCCAGTGATCTATCCAATGTGCCATATAGCTGCCCTATCAAACATAAACAAATGCAAAAAGTTTGAGGGGCTACTAGGCTATTATAAAATGTTAGAATTTCAGATTTCACATATAAGTAGAGGGAATATTCATTTATAAACTATAAGGTACATTCAGAGATTCTGAATCAGAGGGATGGAGCACAAGATAAAGCCCCCAACACATAAATGTAACAAAATAGACAGCTTTGGTTTTTCTACTTCTAAATGTCAAGGCATTTTAAAATCCCCTAGTTAACTTGGCTGCATTACTAAGGGCACTATAAGTTGCATCAGTGCTATGCTTTCTGACGAAATTTTCATTCAACACAGAGTCACAGTACACTGGTATGAGGCTATCATGTTTTATTTTGTTCTACAAAATGTACATGTATGAATATTCTACATGCACATCTATCTAAAACATGAACTAATACTGAATTTATCATGTAGAAGAAACATAGCTGTGTAACCTCAGCTTTATACATCAGAAATGTACCAAATTGGGCTCCACTGTATGTTAAATATTTAGCATGGTATTGGACTATGAATGCTAGATTTCGATTCCGAAGGACATGAGATCTCATCCCAGATTGGACACTACCTATCTTTGTTAACTTTATCATGTCATCTAAGCTCATAAAAAGGGTTTGATAACACTTGTGTTATCTACCTTGCAAGGTTTAAAGTATTATCATAGTTCATTGACAAAGATCTAGAACTAAAAGAACTTCAGAGATTTGCTATTCCAGTCCCTTCATTTTACAACTGAGAAAGTTCAGGCTCAAAAAAGTTAGATTACTTACCCAAGGTCACACAACTACTACATAATAGAGTTGGTACTTGGACTCAGCCTTTCTCATTCCAAATCCATTGTTCTGTAGACACACATGTAAGCTTTCATCATTATCTTTAAAGTCACAAATGGTATGACTTTGTAAAGCAGATGCCACTGTGCTGGGCTACATAAAAGTGTTGTCTTCCTTCAAAATCAGGGCACTAAATTATTTCTTTTGTTATTTTCAGTGAGGAAATTATTTCTTCTTTGACCCTCTTCTCTACACTAAGTAATAGTCAAAGAGGAAAGAGGAACATCATCCAAAGAGAAATATTCCAGTCCCATCATAGCACCTTTCCTCCCTTGAGAGACATAAGACTCTCCTAATGGATTATTTTCTCGTTGTCCCGGTAGTTTCTGACCATCATAATTAATAGAGACTTCTACATGATATAATATAATCAAATAGCCCACCAAAATCCTAGTGAGCCATGCTTGACTGACCTCCTGTCCAGGTGTGAAATAAACCATTGTTACAGTTCAAACAAATATCTGGTTTTTCCCTTCCTATATTTTATTACTCATAACATTTACCTTTTAATAATAGTTCTTGAATATACTGAGTCATCTCAACCTCATTTTTATACTAGCATTTTTTCTTTCTTTCTTTCTCTCTCTCTCTTTCTCCATATATATGTATGTGTGCATACATATATTTCACTCATTTATTTACTTTAAATTCAGAAAGCTTTGCATGTCTAGTAGAAAAACTCAGGTCATGAAGTGGTAATACAAAAGCTCCCCAAAAAAGTAAGCCTCTGAGAAATTAATCCATATTTTGGAGAGTAAGGAGATGGATAAAAGAGTAGCATAGGAGTTAAGTTGGATTCAATAATTCCCTTGAAAAAAATCCCCTTGGTAAATAGCACCGGGAACCATTGAACAACATTGTATTAAAAATAATTTAAAATCAGCTCATCTGTATTCACATATGCATTGACATATAGAAAAAAAACAACTTAAAATAATGTTCAACTGCATGATGGTGAGATTTACTGTTTTTAATATAAAACAAACAAACCTGATGTATTCTATCTTATGCCTCTGTAAAGACAAAAACTATGATAGTGAAAAACTACACATATTGTCTGGTTTGACAATGACTGTAGTCAGCAAATCCTGAGGTGAAAAGAGTTGGTTAAATTAGTTCCCTGGAGACCATTTTGAAGGGCATGTAGTTATTGGGACAGAACTTCTCAGTTCCCATTATACAGTACAGCCAAAGAGTTAGTTAATAGGAAATTGATGATTTGATTTAATAAGTTTAAGTCATCCTGAAGGCGTTGATTTTATCTAATTTACTCATAATGACGTTTCTGAATCTAATTAATGAAATTTTAGTAATTTTAAATAGGAGCATGGTATCATTGATTTAGAGCTTAGGGCTCATCTCAATCTTCTTATTCTCTTTTCCTCACAGGTGAGAAAAATGAGCCTAGAAACCCCTTTTGGGTTTTTTATTTGTTTTTGGTACCCACAGAAGGGTTAAAATTTGTAACTCTCACCATTTGTAGACATTCAGTGCATGTGGAGACAGTAGAGTACAATGGAAATGTACTCACTCAGGAGTTAGAGGACCTATGTAAAAATAGTTCTGAAGCCAACTGCTGTGGTTGTCTTTCACTCTCTCTGGGCCTCCAGTTATTCCACCTTAAAATGAGAGTATTAGACCAAATGACCTCCAAGGTCCCTTCCAGCCCTTAAGTAATAATCCTATATCAAGCTCTCTGTTTGGTGATTCTTCCTGAAATTCTGTTCTGTGTTTCAGTGAAGTTAAGAATTTCTATGCCCCATTAATTTTGGCCTGGGCTCCTTGCCAGGCAAAATGAGTGAAAGCCACATAATTTTTCTCTGTGGTTCTGGGTTGCTCAGAATAGTTGTTTTTCTATAGCTGACGATTCCACTGGCCTCAGCTCACAAATTACTCCATGTTTTAGCCTCCAACACTGTAGCCCCAACTCCTCCCAGCAGACCTCCTCAACATTTTCCAACACAGGCCTTTCTCTACAGGTTAGGAAGAGTCTAACTGAATGTGCTGAATGTCCTAAGTAGAAATTAACAAAACAAAGATTAAGAAGAAGTCAGGTAAAAATAAGCTAACCTCTATCACCTTTTAAGACATGAAAGTCCAACCAGAAGAAAGCTTTTACAGATGACATTTATTATCCTTATTATACAGTTTCAATTCATTTGAGCCTCCCAAAATAATGATCAGTTTTAAGTTTTTACAAGTCATATAAAATACAAACTAAGGAAAAAAATAACCTCTTTAAGCTCAAGTTATAACTGTTACCATTCTGTATAATGTGTCTTCATACTTGAAGTTTCTTTTGTTTTAATTTTCTAATAAACAGTATTTTTTTTTACCATAGAGCTTATAAAGCTTAAATTGGCATTTTTTTTAAAGTCAGCTGATTTATTATCCTTGTTTTCACCTACTATGTAAGTACTTTAAGCAAGTAGCCATGTGATTTAGTTACAGCCTCTGTAGCAATCATGGAATCAAGACATCATAGCAATCTAGCTTTTACCATCAAATGTTCCTGTTTAAGCAATCTTTTAGAACATGGTAGTAGGTCATGAAACAACCATTCCATTTATGTTGACAGCAGCACTACATCCCCTAAGGTCGTTTCTGAGTCTTGACTATGAGTAGAACTTATTCCAGTATCTGAGTCTGTGTCATTGGTATAGGAATGAAATACTTTCTGAGTAAAATGAGGGCCTGCCACACTACTATTGGTACCCTCCAGTCCTTTCTCCCTATCTTCATTAGATTGGCATCCATCCTTGTTGCTGAAATGAAGCGAGTTCAATTCCTCTGCCAGGAGGTCATATTCTATTGCTTTCTTCTCAAGCAAAGAGTCGTTATATTTAATCTCTTTCTGGATACCACTTAAGTTAGAATGGATTTTTAAACCAGCTTTCATACTGTTCTCCAAATCAAGCTTAACACTTTCCAAGTTTTTCTTTTCTGTGTCTTCTGTAGCTGTCCCTTCCGTTTCTTCATTCACATCTATGCAAATGCTTTTGACTTCTTTGTCAATTTCAGCAGATAGCTTGTCAATAAGCAGCCGGTAATATTTCAATCGTTCTTCCAGCTGTAAAATCCCTTCGCTCTCACTCAGATAGTCAGGTGTCTGATTTTCTTCTTGCTTCATATCTTTTTGTTGTTTGACCTCACCAGGACTGGGTATTAGATAAGAATCTTGGACGTAATTTTCTCCCTCATATTCTACCCGATCCAGATGAAATTTTGCTTCACATTTCTCAATTTCCAGATCCAGTTCTTTCATTCTTTTGACCTGCTGATGAATGGTATGGTCCTGAGAAATGATCAAATGCACCAATGTTTCCATGTTGTCTCGGTCTTGTATAACAGAATCCTGCTTAATTTTTGCTAGTTTCTTGAATGTTTTCCTGACTATCCTTTTCTGTTTATCTAGTGGCAACATCTTCATATAATTGGCTGGACTGAGGTCCCACTGTTTTTCTGTGTTCTGAACTAGCTTAGCTTCTGCTCTCCTCCATAATGGAACTGGAACCAGAGCATCTGCTTTAACTAGGACAAAGTGCATGTTTGACTGTTCTTCTCCCCAGGCCTTCCAAAGTCTCAGGATTTTTGTGAGTGGAGGAAGGACCCGCTCTGAGCCTCTCCATTTTTCTATGATACAGTAATCACTGGGCTGTCCGAAAAGAAATCGTTTCTCTCCCAAGGTAGCTTCGTGTTCTTCAAGCAAAGCCTGGATTACATCAGCTGCAGTGGTACGTTTGGTCAGTCCACAGACAATCTTTTCTTCTTGGCAAACCCAGACGATAATTTCCTTCTCTTCTGCATCCATCTCCTTAGGTGGTGATCTAAAATGAAAATAACAAAGAATATTATCTTTCTGTGACCCCACATTGGAATTCAGAAAAGTAGCTGAGCAGTCCAACTCCTTTCAGATTTTAGGTAACTTCCTATCAAAATACATTTACCAGGCTGTATATGGTCAATAGCTCTTGGTTATAAAGTGAAAACAAAAACTATTGAGTCGTTATAACAGCTTTTCATAAAATTAAATCTTTAGAAACAGAAAGAATCTTAAGGACCGTCTAATCCAACCCATTTTACAGATAAGGGATCTAGGACTCATGGAGTTTAAATGAGCTGCTCATGGTCACTTAACTAATAAAGATCAGAGGCAGACTAGGTCCTCTGACCCCTCAGGTTGTCTTCTTTTCTCATACTGTCTTCCACCATGCTGTCTGCCACTTGATATCACAGGATTTAAACCTAAAAGTGGCCGTATTGATCTCTACCCTCATCTTACCGATAAGAAAAGCATAATGTAGAACACATGTGGTCACTGATTTAGATCAGGAAAGACATGAAATTACCTGTCCAAAGTCACACAAATAGTAAGTTATAGTATCATGGGATTAAAGAACCAAGCTTGGAAAAGACCTCAAAGGCTATCTAATCTAACCTCTTCATTTAGTAGACAAGGAAAGTGAGACTTATGGAGGTTACATAATTTGGCTGATGTCAGATAGTAAGCATCTGAGGCAAGATTTGAAAACAGGTCCTCTGATTCCAGAATCAGTGTTTTCATTTTTTGTTTTGTTTTGTTTTTTCCCACTGTTCCGCACTAGAGGTCTTCTACTTTCAAAGCCAGTAGACTTTCTGCTATCTCATGTTTCATCCAAGAGCAAGCTCTATTTTTTCATTAAGGTTATTAAGTCCTTTTTTACCATGGTACAATGGTAGATCCCTAGATTAGGAGTCAAGGGACTCGTTTTCTAGCTGAAAATCTGTCATCTATCTATGTGGTCTTAGGCAATTCTCTCTCCCTACCTGGGCCTCAGTTCAACAAATGGTAAAATTTTGGAATAACAGATTTAGAGATAGAAAGGATCTTTTAAGTCATTAAGGAAACCGAGTCCTAGGAAGGTAAAATGATCGACTCAAGGTCATACACATAGTAAGTGGTAGAGCCAAGATTTGAAATTGATTCCTCTGACTCCAAATAGTGCTCCTGATTGTATTGGATGATCCCAAAGACCTATTCCAATTCTAGTCCCCTGCCTGAGTCTTAGTTTCTTTATCTTTAAAATAAGGGATTTGGAGTAAGGGGTCTCTAAGATCCCTTTACACACTATGAAGAGACATTTTCATCTTCTCTATTATCAGGCCTTATAATAATTTACTGTGTTAATGCCCATAGCAAAATTAGAAAAAGTCAAAGGTCAAGTGAATCTCTAGGGGTCTCAGTCAAAAATGGGGTCAGAGCCTCGACCACTAATACACTTCTCCAGGACCATGAAGTAAAATTTAAAATGTCTTCCACCAAAGTTTAGCTGCTGCTCTTGTCTAATGTTAGCATTATTGTAGTTACCTGAGAATGTGGGGGGAGCCACTAAGGGTTGGAAAGAGTATCATGAGAGAGCAAGGAAGATGATCAAAGTGATGGTACATAAAATATTCTATAGAGGTGTGATAGTGGGGGCCTGGAGAGAGAGGTGATCATCCATTGAAAATATAACCAAGACACTGACTCTGCTTCACACTAGTGTTAAATCGAACTCAAATAGAAACAGGGGTCAGTAAACAGTATATAAGAATCTCTGTGAGATACATATTGAATAGAAGGAAAAATATTAAAATTATTTATGTTCTATTGCATTTTTATTTATTTTATTAAATATTTCCAAACTGCATTTTAATCTGGTTCAGAATACCCTAGAGTACGGCCAGTGACATGTGGTCCATGGGCTGAGTGTTTGACCACCTCTAATTTACACTATAAATAGACAGGAGGGTTTGGATATTCGGAAAATTTGGAAAGGAAATTTGGGGAAGGAAGCTCCAATAGATTCTGAAGTGAAAACATCATTCATTGACCTCAGTTTCCTGAACTATAAAATGGAGGCATTGAATTAGGTGGCCTCCAACATCCATTATAATTCCACATCTATGATCTTTGGATAGCAAAAAGATTAACAGAAGCCATAGAAGCCTTAAGAGGTTCATAGTTCTTATTAATATGTAGTACATAGGTGTACATACTACATATTAACATATAGTATACACACAGAGTTCATATTAATACATATATATACATGTGCATAAATTAAATATGTTAATTAACATATATGTATACACATTTAACAATTGATAAGTATCTACTTTGTAGGCAGCGTTAATGCTCACCAGTTTAACAAATCACAGATTTTTGATTATGTAAATTCCATTGCAAACATAAATCAAACTAATTTTTAGTCATATCTATTTGAGTGATAAATACAAAGACATAAAAGAAAACACATGCCTATAATATTTATAATTATGTGGAGGCAGTATCCTCCACAGGCAAAAGCATTTTTGACTGATGAGACCTGGATTCAAATCCCACCTCTGACTATGTGTATGATTTGGAGCAATTCAGTTAACCTCTTTGGGATTCAGTTACTTCAGATATAAAATTAAGGGATTTAATTACATGATCTCTAAGGTTCCTTCAATCTCTAAATCTATAATCCCATATGGGAATTTTCAGTAACAATTGATCTATTTTTAGTATTGTATAAAAGTAGTTATTGTAAGATATTCGAAAATATTTACTTGACTTATGTGAATTACAAAGGAAATACCAGAAACAATGCAGTACCAATGGAGACACATTCTTCTTTATTAACTTTATCTTAAAACCTATTGTTAAGATGAATGGATCATTGTTTTTTCTCAGTATAAAAAGGTGCATTGTTGGGGCAGCTAGGTGGCGCAGTGGATAGAGCACCATCCCTGAAGTCAAGAGGACCTGAGTTCAAATCTGACATCAGACCAAACACTTGACACTTACTAGCTGTGTGACCCTGGGCAAGGCACTTAACCCCAATTACCTGAAAAATAAATAAATAAATAAATAAAATAAAAAGGTACATTAACACCCCTAAAGGCAAAGTTACAAATGAGGTGCATAAGACTACCCAGTTGATTTCAGCCTAGTGCTCTTAACTAAAAAAGTAGTGTTCTGTTCTATGGAAAAGCATTCAGAACATAGTTACTTTTTACAAGTGATCCTCTAAAAAATTGGACTGATTTACTCCTGTTTTGTTTTGTGGGAATTTTTTCTTTTGATCTTCAAGATAATGAAGAAATGTGACACTGAAAACTGCTGGCTCTTTGAAGGACTTTAAAGACATGCTGATGTAGAGTGGTAGAATTATTTCCAAATTCAGATCAAAGGGAAATTACCCAAAAATATACTCCGTATTTAACTTAAGAAAATAATTTCCAAAACTAATTGTATGAAACTAGGTGAAACAAAAATAAAAATTGGAGCCTGTTTCTGTTATATAACTGACCTAGGAATCAGCTTGTAAGGCCTAGATCATGCAGTCATTTTCTATTTGTCTCCTATATAATGGTTATATATTTAGGTCCCAGGTTTTGCTATTCAGCTGATTTTTCTGTTTTCCAGAAATTAGAATCTCTCAGGTTCAGGCTTTACCAATCAAAGAGGAAAGACCTTCTTCTAACCTAGTATCTCCTACCAACTTTGATGCCCTTTAGCATAAGAAGTCAAGGAGTCTATTTTTGTCTTTTAATAGTGATAAAGCCCCCAGCCTAGAATCACAGGTTCAACTGTATTATTCCACCCTGTGGGAACTAGCCTCCGTGGAAAACAAAAGCAAAAAGTGGTTCTGTCAGTTTTCTTCCATGCAGGATCAGAAGGATATAACTTTCATCCTTGTTCCAGGTGGGGAAGGGAGCTTTGAGTCACTTAGGGACTGGGATGGTGGTCTTGACTGTCAACGTGCATTCATTTGGGCTTGCTACGTCCACAGTAATTGGGAATCAGAGATGATGTGCATCTGTTTTGGCTCTTGGTCCAGAAACTTCAGTGAACTGCACTTATTACATTTGGGACTGCTAGTCAACAGCTGTTCCTGGTTATCCTTGTAATCAACCTTCTTTCTCTCTATAAGCTTAAGCCTCTCACTTCCCTCCTGGAATCTCTTAATTAGAAGTAAATTCCGATTGGCTTGTCCATCAGGCTAATTCAAAGCCCTTATCTTGTTGTGCTCTAATTAATAATACAATACTAATGATAACAATTCAGATTTAAATCCTGCTCCGTGGGCTTCAGAATACTTTACATATATTATCTCATTTCATCCTTAACACAACTCTGTAAGGTAGATACTGCTATTATTCCCATTTTACAAATGAAGAAATTGAGGCTAAGATATGTTATAGGGTCAAGAGCTTTTAAATGTCTGATGCTGGGTTTGAACCCAGGTCTTCTGGTCTCCAGCACTCTGGCTACTATACCATGCATGCTTCTCAAATACTTAAGAAAATAATATACTCAAAACTCCAAGGAAGATCGGTAAATAACATGGCATCTTGATAGTTATTTTCACCCTTCCAAAAACAGACAACAGAGAGCTAAAAGGATCATGGATACATTTTGAAAAACTCAAATAGGAATTTTATATCCCTGGCAATGAAAAATGAACTTTAAATCATTACAGAAGACATAAGAGTTTTCATAGCAATAATTATTAATAAAAAAATTAGTGAAATCTGGAAAAAAAACACTGTTATGGAAATCAGTGAGACTAAATCAAAGCAATTTACCATTAAGTGCATGATTTTGATGATTTTTTTGAGAAAACTAAAAATCATCTCATTAAAAACACAAAGATAGAAAAAAAAATTCATTCTATTTTTAATTAAATTAATAAGTGGTCTTTTATTCTTTTGTGATACCTGACATCCACTTGTAGTTACTGATGCATAGTAGGCTCTTAATAAACATTCTCCCACTGAACGATGGACAAAGTCCATAGGAAGATATCCCTCATCTATT